TGCTTAAATGTTTTCCGGAATTAAGACCTAAATTACTGAAGTAAACAGCTGCAGCTGTAAATATTCAACATGGAACAGACATGTTGCAAAAGGATTTATCATTTCAATCATTTTTCAGAGTAGAAATACATCTTGAGATAAAAATAGAAACATATTTATGTTGAAACAATTTTTACTCAAACTCCTTTTGGCTTGACACCAAACATGTAAAGTTACTGCTGGAAAGAGGAATTTCTCTTTTTTAGTGCAAGAACAAGGCAAATGTAACTGCATGTTTAACTTCTCTCAGTGTCTGCTATAGGAAGACCTTCCACCAGCAACTGCAGAAATTCTGCAGTTATTACTTTGTATGACTGCCATTAAAATAGGCTTCAGTTCAGGAAAAAAAAATAAAAAGAAGAAGGTTGTTATGGAACTTTTTGGTGTGGAAAAAGGGATTATAGGGAAATAAGTTAAAAACCCAGTTATCTCTTTCAGTATTTGTTTCAGTTTGTCTCAACAGGAACATGTCCTTCCTGCTGTTGTTCTGTGTATGGAAACATGGGCTTGCTAGCCAAGAAGTAAGGCAGAACAGACTACAATGAACTTTTTACATCTCTGGGGTTATGAAAAAGCAAAAATAATCCTTACGCATCCACTGCTGCCTCACCATCCCATCAAGTCACTGGCTGGTGGTGGAGCTCCTCACCGCTTGATTTTCCCTACCCAGAGTTTCCCTTGTTCCTGGTGATCGCGGAGGTCTTTTCACAGCAGCTGAAGTCATTTGAGAACTGCTAGGAATGAGCACAACCCTGATCAAACTCCGACGGTAGATTCTAAAACACTTAGAACCAGAGGCAATGGAAATCTAAATTACCTGGAAGGATTTCTTGACTGTGAGGGTGATCAACTACTGGAACAGGCTGCCCAGAGGCTCTGGACTCTCCTGTCTCAGAGACATCCGTTAGGACAACCTGACCTGATAACATCTGCTTTGAGCAGGAGGCTGGCTAGATAATCAATAGAGGTTCCTTCTCATCTAAATTATTCTCTGATTCTCTGAAATCTTGAAAAATAATTCCGGGCATTGCACGCCTTTGGAATTCAAAGGTCGAATTACCAGAACATTCCTGGAAAGAAGAGTGAAGAAGCTTGACATGGAGGGGGAGGCATTCCCTGTTTCCGGTTGCAGTTCCAGTGGTCATGCAGATGTTGGCAGGTCATATAATATATCACCTGAGAGTTGAATACTTATTCTAGTTTCCATCAGCTGAAGCTATACTAGTTTCTATACTAGTTCCATCAGCTGAAGCTAGTGCCTATTTTTTTTTTTAAAGGCCCTTTTATAACAGCAGATGTGTTCATGATCTTTGCAATGCATGCAGTATAACAACTCAGAAGATGAAAATCTGGAGATAAAAAGTAGAGTTTTGGCATCAGAAATTCTTGTTGAGACAGACAGAATAAAACGTTATACTGCAGGGCAGTAGATATTTTTCTAAAATATTTTTCTGTTGTTTGGAGGAGGATAGGTAGAATATATCTGCTAATGGGATAAAGATTCAAATCTGCTGAAATTTTTATATGGGTCTTTTTATGTTTGTTTGTTTCCCACTGGGCTGTATGTGGCTTGGAGACTGTCCAAATTCCTTTCTTAAAAGCTTTTCTAGGCTTTTGGCTTAGGGTACAGGCAAATGAGATATTCCTTTCTGAAAGACCAAGTAGGTTTCAGAAAATATTATCTTCTGCCTCTTTCTAACGCACTGTGTGCTCCCCTCTTCACACTGGGGTAGAGGCCAAGGGGTAGATGTTTGAGATGGCAACATCACAGATGATTGTGAAAGTTGCCATTTCGTTATGCTAGAATTTATTGTTTGAAAATTCTGTAACAAAGCTACACTGAGCTTCTGTTATAGTCTTGCAATGTTAAACGGAAATCATAAAATAATATGTTGAGATGCCCAGAGATCTAGTTACATGTAAAAGCGAATGATTAATGTCCTCATTTTGCTGTATTTTTTCCTTCACTAGACAGACTTTCACAAATTCCTATCAAAATGCTGATATTATCCTAGTAACGAAATGCCATAAGTGGAATATATCAGTTTAGAAGAGTCTCAGAAGATTTATATGCAGAAAAAAATATGTATATTTGAG